TGATGGCAAAATCTACTAAATGTCAGAGGCAGCTTGGTTATTTTACATTGGCTTCTACATCAGAGGCAAGTCAAATGCAGCATACTCCCAAGGGAAAATACAATTGTGATTTGGTTTGCTTGTGACATGTTTGTGATTCACATTGACTTGTATAAACAAAAGCAATGCAAAGAATGTTGTCAAGGACAATGTATCCTGTTAGATCGGTTTCAAATGCTGTATGCCAGATTCTTCAAAAATGCTTCAATAGCATGTTAGAAGCCCAATTTTGTGCTTGTGCGCATTGGTCTTTTAAGAAGTTGACACTTCCGCTTTAAAATTTATTATTTTTCCCCTTTTTGTACCCTTTTCCAAAGTGGCTATGCAAATAGTCTCATTTTGTATAGCCATAAAAATGTGCTCCGCGTGACAATGCCTGGACCTGCTGTTCACTTTGACCCCAGGCACAGTATTTTGGGATGAGGAGGTTGTGCCCAAGCTCTTGTAGGCTCCAGGGGCATTGGAGTGGCAAAACTGCTAACAAAAGCTGTTATTTCCCTCTTACACAAGCTTAACGCTATTCTGCCCATAGATTTCTTTTGGTACATGAATATTCTGGAACAGATCTAGCATCCCAAAGTGTTCTTTCTAGTGGATGAATTCTCCTTAAATTTGACTTATTTAACATGAATTTGTTGATTTTCTGGTTCTGCATTTAGAGAGTGACCGAAGGCCATCAGGATAAACTAGAGAAGCAACACTGGAACATGGCCAAACTACAGAAACATCAGGAACACATTCTGAAATTTGCCTCCTGGGCCCTTGAGAGCAACAATAACACGGCTTTGCTGCTTTCCAAAAAACTGGTAAGTAAATCTTTAAAAGTTTCCAAGGACTGTAATACCTCCCCTACACTTCAGATACTAACAGTTCTCTCCTTTTCTAGATCTACTTCCAGCTGCACCATGCTTTGAAGGTTGCAGTAGATCCAGTTGAACCATTGGGTGATTTGAGGTTTCAGTGGGATTCGGAAACCTGGACAAAACATGCAGAGTTCTTTGGTAAGATTTCCCTACTACTATAAATTCTTTGACTGTACGCTCACTAGGACGTCTGTTGTAAATTTCCAGTATGTTTTTTACCAAGTGCAACAGGCGCACTGTTGGGGGTTCATGGTGTAGATTGCGCGATTATCAAATTAATCCCTGTTAGCCGCTGCCGACCTCGCTAAACATTGACCAATGTTGGTCAAGCCATTTTAACTTACTAGTGGCCAATCCCTCAGAATAGTGTGCTCCCTCAAGGCAGTAGGAAAAGCATGGTGAATTATGGTACAAGTATCATCTCAACAAAGTTAACTTGGTCTTGTGAGTTGTGACACAGACCTATATGCTCGTGGGTGAGACAGCCAATGAGTTTTGCTCATTGGGATGCCAAACAGTTTGCTCAGTGGTATGTGTAGGTGCTTGCTTTTGAGGCCAATGAAGTTTAATTCTTTTATGTGGCAAATAAGTTGCGCTCGGTCTAGTTGTGAAAGTTTAATTCTTGCAGATCTTTATTTAGCACAGACCATTTATGCAGCACTTTACATACTGCACACATCAGTTCCTGCCCTCAAGGAGCTTACAATCTAAAGTCCCTTTTGTACACGCATACAGGGCCAATTTAGACGGGAGCCAATTAACTTTCCAGCATGTCTTTGCAGTGGGGGAGGAAACCAGAGTAACCAGAGGAAACCCATACAAGCACAGGGGAGAGCATGCAGATAGTGTCCTGACTGGGATTCAAACTGGGGCCCCCTGTGCTGCAAGGCAGAGGTGCTAACCACTAAGCCACTTTAGGAGTCCTGGGAAATTTTTTTAAACTGGAGCAGGCAAAATCTAGAGCAGTTGCCCAGGGCAACCAATCTGCTTCAGTTCGGTTAAGATTTGAAAATGAAAGATGCTGATTGGTTGCTGTGCACAGCTGCTCCAGATTTTGTCTGCTCCAGTTTTGATAAATTCCCCTCTTTACTCCACATACAGGTGTCTGCTTCTATTGGATTTGGGTGCCATTGTGGATAGAGTAGGGTAAAGGGTCATAAAGGATAACATTTTTTTTTTTGTCGTGTGTGTGTTGTATTATATTATATGTGCGTGTGTACATATCTCATATTTGCCTATCTTCATTGCAGGTAAAATTGTATCAGACAAAACTGGTGTCCTGCCGTCTTCGGGATCACAGAATTCAAATTCTCAAGTGCTGACGCCCCTTACTAACTTCAGTCCGATGGTACAGAACCGGTCGAGAACTGGTCAAGGGAGAGGTAACTTTATCCAGGATGACTATGCAGGTTCATGTCTTTCTAATGTCTTTCGTACAGTTGCCTTGTATTGTGTAATCGTAACATGGTTTTTCTCTTCTAGAGGGTGAATCTTCTGGCTTAGAATCTGTTGGTCAAAAAAGGTAAATTTCTTTATTGAATCACACATCATACTCCAAAGTGAGCCAGTGATCACTGTGCTGTTAAGCCGATGTATGTTTTTTTTTTTTTAAAGGGGACGTGCTTCAGAGGGAGGTGAAGTTAATGAACAATTAAAGAAAGTTCCTAGGGTCAGCTTGGAGCGTTTAGATGTTGATCTTAGTCCAGCCACACAACCCCCAGTTTTTAAAGTCTTTCCTGGAAACACCACAGAGGACTATAATCTCATTGTAATTGAGAGAGGGAATGCTGGTGCAGGTGGAGGAGATCCTGTTGTAAAGGTACGTAAAGCATAACTTATATTTTTGAATGATGTCGTGACAGGTACTGTGTGCCCAGCGTTTAATGTGTTACTAATATAATTAGGGATGTTCAGATACCAAGTACAGTACTCGGTACAAATACTTTTCCAGCTCCAACACTAGACAAAAACTTCAAGTTAGGAGGCAGCTGTCATTTTTAAGGAGAATACTGCGCTCAAATACAGACTAATGATTTCAGGACAGTGATGGAGAGCCAGATGCCAGCTGCAACCCTGGTAGTTCTCATGAAAATGCCAAGTATCGGCACTGGTATCTGAACATCCCTAATAATCCTTGGGTATGCTGGCGGACTACACTTAAACAATTGTGTGGTGCCACAGAGCACGGAATTTCTCATGTGGGAGAAGTACTGTATTATTGGAAAGATCTAGGACTTCTAGGCAGGATAAGTGTCCATATGAATGTAGCAGAATTGGCGAGCTTATGCTTGAGATTTGCTGCTTTAACTTCAAGGTTTGACCTTGACATATCCCAAAAACTGGCAATGGTTGTGCTACAACATTCCACCCAATTTTTTTTTTTTTTGTAAACTTTATAAATTTTCCCAACAATACAAAAACAGAATATTCAATAGCACAAACATACAGTAAGGGAGCAACATACTCCACAAAAACATAAATTGGCATGAGGATCCCACAAAATTGACTTTGCCCATATACTTAAATGTTTAAAAATATGAATCTTCCAATGGTAGCTTGACAATACAAAGTGGATATGAAAAAATTGAAGATGATAGGTGCAACATTCTATCATTTAAAATAGGAAGGTGTAAAAGACACTTTTGCCCTGTCTCTTGTAAAATAATAAAAGAAATCTCACATGGTATGCAGCATCTCTTTGTTTCTGAAATTTATACATTTCAGATTTTAAACCATTGTTGACCTATTGCAGGAGGAAGCAATGGAAACGGGCATCAGCATTCCAACAGCTGAATCCAATGAGGAAAAGCCCCAAATGCGTGCCGATGGCTCGTCTGAAAGTGCTCCCGCAGTTCGCCCAGCAAGTGCACCCAGCGATGGTGTCGCTTCAGATGCTAACTCGGGGTTATCAGAAGCTGGCCCTGCTGCTCGCTGTAAGGTGTGCCAGAAAGAAGGATCACTGCTTGCATGTGTCAAGTGTAAAACCAGCTTCCACAGAGACTGCCACCTGCCTGCCGTTGTGGAAGTGCCAAGGTATTACAATAAATTATAACTTGTTTCGATGTATTCGGTCAGCGGCATCTGTGTAGATGAGATATGAAAGCAAGGTGTGTTTATGCAAGTAAGAGTGCTTGGCTTAAGTTCCTGGCATTTGTTTCCTCAGGTAAGGTCTGGTAATGACACAAAAGAATATACCTTACTGGTTACATTACTTGTTGGGACAACAAGTAACCCCCCCCCCCAATACATTCTTGCCTAACATTGTGCAAATTTTGCTGTCAGATGTTGGGGTGCGGGTGAGGCACTTTAAATAAAATGATTTGGCTGATGTGGGACTTAAACACTGTCACCATTCAGGGCAAAGCAGCAGTGCCTCCTGATAGCACTAGAGAACACCACTCCAGACTCCCTTGCCGCCTGCCCACTGCAGGGAGGCCACCCTCGGCAAGCGCCGAAGTAAAATATAAAAGCTTACAGTTAGGCGACATCCTTGTACAATGCAATTGGCTGCCCAAGCACTGTCGCATGAGGTTGTTCACATGCTCCTCCATTCCTAGACTCCTCCTAAAGGAGTGCTGTTGGCTGAGTTTAACTTGCTTGGGAGGAGGTGGGGTATCAGCAGACACTGTCTCTTTGCCCTGATTGGACAAATTGATTGTGTTTTTAACACTGTGCATCCTGAAATCGCTTGTGAACCATGGTAAAGGGGCAGCAAGGAAAGCGGTTTAAAGGCTAGTTAAGTAATACATTTATCTGAATGTCCAACACTGAGATTTTCTTCCACGTCAGTCTGTAGCTGCTACCTCAGAATGTGGTTTCCCTGTTTAGTCTATAAATCTTTTAACGGAGGATATGCTGCTCCTGGATCTTAATGAGTCAATAATACCGTACTGTAATTCAATGCAAAAAGTAACTTTACTTTGTCTTTTAGTGGAGAGTGGAAGTGTATGCTCTGCCAGGATATATCAAAGACCGATCAAGGAGACGTTCCAGCAGATGCTAATCCTTCTGATATGTCAGCAGTTGATCAGAAGGTTTGTGTGATGTTCATTTTGATTTAAAGTACCCTTTTAAGAAGAGTTTGCATGTAAGGTAGCCAAACATTACCAGTGTATTTTCAGAAATGCTTTAACTTAATGTGAAAAACATCAAATTCTCTAACTTTCTATGAAAGCACTGTTTGTGGAAACCATATTTTTGACTTGAATGTGAAATTGAAAACCTGCATGACTACTCTTCCTGAAAATTTTATAGCAGACAGTGTGATTGGAAGAGGGGAAGTTTTCTACCCAATAACTCAAGGGACCTTGCAGTAATCTGCCCAGGAGAGCAGCATCTGGCCACCGGCACTCACTTCAGTAGTGTCTCTAAAATGTTTTTGTTGGAAACTGGGCTAATCTCTCCAGCTTAGCTGTTTATAGATTTAGTAAAAACCCAAAACACCTTTCTGATGGAAGCTACTTAATACAAGAAATGTACATGATGCTTTGTATTGGCCTTGAAGTCCATCCTTCACACTGAATCCCAGGATACAGATTAATTATGGATGTGTCTGCTGGAGTTGAGTCTGAACATAGAGAGCACCTACAAGACTGCTATATATTCTCCCTAAAAATAACTGCTGATTTCAGCCTTTGTAATTTGCAGCCGACATGTTTAACAGCATTTTTTAATTTACACACTTTCCTATTTGTAATTGCAGAAGTGTGAACGTGTACTGCTGGAACTACTTTGCCATGAGCCCTGCCGGCCTTTCCACAGACTCTCAAGTGGAGCGGTAAGTACATAGTTTACTGCCAGTACAGTACCTCCCTGAATTTGCTGAGAACTAGAGTATGATTTACTTATAAACTGGCCGCATACATAACTGCATTGTATTTTCGCAATTGCTCTTTCTGTAAACTCTTTATGGGCTGCCATGTGGGGTGGGGGATACTTATTGACATTAAACTCGGAGGTAAATCTTTCATCCCAATTCCTTACCCATTAATAAAACTCATATTTGTGTATCACTCGGCTGTAGATCCTCCAATCATCTCTGAATTGGTGCTGACACTGTCCTTCCTTCTGGAGGGTGGCTACTTTTGTTCCCCATACTCAGTGTTGTAAAGTAGTCACCGCTCCAAGCTCGCTCCTGAGATGGACTACAATCTCAATACAAATTGGTTAACAGGACATGAGATTGTAGTCCATCCCGAGAGCAAGCTTGGAGTGGTGACCATGGGGAACAAAAGTAGCCCCCCTCCAGAAGGAAGGACAGTGTCCCCACCGATTCAGAGATGATTGGAGGATCTACAGCCGAGTGATACACAAATAAGATGCATTGTTGTTAATAGTTATGGTACTTGAATGTATTTTTAAAATTTAACTCCGGAGTTTAGGGTCACTTTGAGTTGTAACAGAATAGGCTAGAACCAGGTTAAAAAGCTCTCCTTTCAATGCATTGGGAATGTATCTTCTGCTGTGTAAGCTGTACTGTTCTTTTTTAAAAAGAAAATGGCAATATAAAATGACGCATGTTCCACTGTCGGCATTAACACAGTAGTCTCCATTTTTCTGGGTCCCCTCTGTAACATGATCACTACAGGTATGAACCCCATATAGTTACCAGAACACAATACTTTTCCTTAAAGTGGTTTAATATCTTGAGGAATAACACTCATTGTCTGTCTTGGTTTTGTATTTTTTAGGATGACAACCCATTGATCGACTTGACACTCATTCGAGCCAAGCTGCAACAGAAGCTTTCTCAGTCATTCGCCAGCCCAGAAGACTTTGTTAAAGATGTCTGGTTGATGTTTAGGAATGTCAGCAAGTTTGCAGAGGTAGAAATGTAATTGTTTCCTAATTTAAGCCTGCATCTTAGAGGCTTTTGTACAAGTGTTAGTTTGCCTTGGGGTTTGGAAGGTAATGTTGCAAATACATTGAGTGCCATCTTTACATGACTGTCAAGGGAAATGTATGTTTAAAATGTCTTTCTCTGCCAGGATGAAGAACTAGGAATATTGTGCATGGGGGGCGTGCTGCTGGGGTAGAAAATGGTATAGTTAGCATTTTGAGGTGCTCATATTATATACTAGCTTTGTTTCAGAGAGCACAGGTGATGCAGCTAAATCGGCCGTCCTTTCATGAGATACTGAATGGGTTGAAACTTAAAGTTGATCTTAAAAACAAAACTAAATGGAGTGAGTGGAAAGGGATCCATGCCGCCTGAGAACATTTGGTAGGCCTAATATATAATGACTTCCCTCCTTCATAGTGTTTAACATTTAAACCCAAAAAATGGCAAATGCATTTTGTGAAGGTCATGGGTTTTTGAGGCTCTTCTTTTTAATCGCATATATTTTTAATGGAAGGTTTCAAGACTTTGAAGCTGCTTGTTTACAAATCGTGCCTAACTAAGGTTGCAACTAAAGTAGAAGTTGTAAGCCATTGAATGGTATTTACCTGTGTGCTCACTTTACTGTGACTGAATTGAAACACTTGTGTTGATGAAATCTCTGTGTATTATTCTTACAGGACAAAGCCGTGGTTCAGTCCATCATCGAGCTGCAGGCCTTTTTTGAAGCAAGGCTTAACCTGCTCTTTGGCGATCGCAAGTTCTCCTGCCTCACGGGCGATGTGGGCGCTGATGAGGATCAGCAAAACGAAAGCTCGACTCAGCGGAGCTCCCCCATGAGCACAACTAGCGAAAGCGTATCATCCGTAAAGAACAGCGGCGGCGATCAGGAATAATCTTTTAGGCTTGGATCTATTCCGATAGTCTAATCCAAGTGGGTCATGCGCATGTTCCCGTATCATACGAAGTCACGACTGCGCAAATGACTGGAGATTTTATTATAGTACTTCCCTTCCTCTTTCAATAGCTGAGTGATAGATTGTCACTGAAGATGAGTGATTGGCTGTCTTTGGCAGTGGAGACTTTCTGGAGAGGTCAGTGTAGTAGTTAACAAGCTTTTTTTTTTTTTTTTTTTCTCTCCATTCACTTGTACCTTCTCAGTGAGTCTCTTTATTCAATGCCTCTGCAGTTCCAGTCATAAGCAAATAAAAATAAAACAATCCCCTGAAGGACAGCCACAAGTTTCTGCGTTTGGCCATGTTTTCTCTGGTCAAAATGTAAGATACTCCACCTGGACGGGTGCTGTTACTCTGTAAACACTCTTCCTGGATTGAAGGTTCCGGGTAAAACATTTACTATGAAGTTCTAACGTAACGATCTCTTCAGTTATTTTTGTAGTTTCTTTGCAGTTGGTCAGATTGTTCTTGTATAATACTGTCAAGCTCCATGTCCGTCATTAATAACAGGAGCACCCGTCATGTACTGTTAAAACTCCACTTCTGTCACTTACAATGGAGGATTTAGTGGTTTCCTCCGGCCCTTAATGTTTACTTTCTGAAAGCATGCAATTCCATACAGAACGTCCTGAAAACCCCCTCCTTTTCTTTTTTTCTACTGTCCATCCAGCATTGTTACTCTTGTGAGTTATCCATGTATTTTGGCACAAAACTTGACAGGATGGCAGTGCTTGCCGCAGTTTAAGTGTTAAGTAAATAAGATGTTTCAATTGGGGTTCACCAGACCTCCAAACCGTTTCAAGTTTAACAATCCGATTTTAATATTTGTTGCCTTTAAAGAGAACATTTCATGAAGGGACCGTGAAGGGTTGCCATTGCTGATCTCTCCTTTGATACCATTTGCCCGGCTGGTGGTTATGCAGAACTAGAAGACTGATCAAAAACAAAAAATGCAATCTGAATTCTTGTGGGGGAGGAAGTAACCTTGGTGACTGCAGATACTGAGGCCAGAGGGTCATCATGACGGCCCTCAGATTTCTCATGACATTTACCTTAAACAGAAATTGAATTGTTCTACGAACTGGTTCAATTACACTATTGAGCTGTGCCATTCCAATGAAACGTCTCACTCTGGTCATGTATACAATTTTTTTATTCCCAGTCAGTCGCAAGTATTGCGATTTTGCGGCAATGTGAAAGCCAGTTTCATGGTTGACAAATATCTGAAAAGCTACTAGACTTTGAAGAAAGGGAAAAAAAAAACTGCTTTCGATGTCCAATCAAATTGTAAATATCCAAGTCACACGTTTTCTCTTTTCTCATCCAAATACTTTTTTTTTTTTTTTTTTTTACTATTTTTAAGACATTTTCCAGGTATCAATTGCAGATCTAATGTGATCTGCTTTTCACACTAACATGATTTTTTTTTTTTTGTGTGCTTTCCTTATGTTGGCACGCTCAAATGAAATGCAACATGAATGATGAGTGACTGTTTTGGGCCAATGAGCCACTAATGGTGCAGTTCTGGGAATGTAACTTGCAGAGTTACCAAAAAAGTTAACTATGGTATTAGATTGAAACCTTTGGGAATATGTAACCTTGAAAGAATGTGAGTGTCCTTGTATTGTTACTATACTGTTTAAGACCCAAACTTGACACACATTACCCCCATTCATTACTGTTGTAGCCTTTAAATAAAAAAGCCAATGTATTCTCATTAGCCAGTGTGCTGTTCTGTTTGCCTAGATATTGACTGCGATAACTGGTTTTCATCATTTTTGTAAGGGCAGTAAACACAATGAAGTTCATCTTTTTCCTTTTTGTGCTTTTGTATTGAATAAAGTAACACTTCAAAGTTTATTGTATCAGCTAACATGCTTGTTTTTGTTCCACAGAAGTGGCCTTTATTTTACAGAATTTACCATTCCTAGCAAAATAAGCTTGTATATTTTAGAATGCTTTCATGTGAAATAAACATTTCAAACTTGGTGCTACATTGGTTTTCTTAAGATTGTACATGACTTGCAGTTGCTACTGCATTCGCCGGAACCTTTCAGAGCAGGTTTTTGGTTAATTGCGTATTATGGAACCAGTTCTGTGTTTTTTTTTTTATTATGGTGCCCTTAGATGTGGCTTGTCATCTCGGGGACATTCAATTTAATGTCCATGACTTTCTTTGCATGAAAAAATAATGGAAACTTCAGATTATAGTTGCATAGGTGGGGTTACAGCTGGAAATGTACCCAGATATATTGCCATATAGAGTGCTGATTCATTGGAAGTGATTTGCATAAGAAACAGGATTTTTGTACTTGTAAAGTTATTTTCTTGGAAATCGTCCATCTGGGCCTACAGTGCCTGCTCTCTTGGGGAATGTGAAAGAAGACGGTAGGGCAGACATAGAAGCCCACACTCTCAATAGTACCAAGTGTGCAGTGGTGACGATATTAAAAATGCTGTTAGGCTGGATGACAGCCACTGTTGAGCCCCAGCTGACCAGCAAGGAGGAGGAGGATGATGAGTATTGGGGTACCACTGCTGACCTTGTTTTCCCTAAGGTAAAGGATTACTCAGAAGGGGGTAAGTGGAGTCCAGGATGCAACACAGTTGTACAGGTCAAAGTGACATCAACTAGAGCCAGAGCATCTAGATTGAGAACCCTCTGGGTGAAGTGGGTGAGTAGCTAAAGTGTACCAGAGGTTAGGAGTTATCCTGAAAACCTTAAGGGGTAGTTTGCATTTGAATGCCTTTATTCCAAACTACCCAAGATTTACAACCATCTCCCCCTTTTTGAAAAGTGGGGGACCTTCTTATTGAAGGCCTCTCTGATGACGACAGATTTCTTGCAGTGGAGGGGCAAGAAAATAGGTGCACTTTGTCTTTAAATCCCATTTGGCTAAAAAAAATAACAGAAGGTTCTCCCAAGAAAATAGGAAACAAAATTGACTGCTATTGGATCATGATTTGTCGGGGGAGCCATTTTTGACAATTGCTCCTGACCGAGTGGCACTCAGGACTGACCAGGCATTGTTACCTAATGTGGCCTTGCTTTATCACCATTCCCAGTATATTATCCTTCCCACTTTTTGCTCCAGTCCATCCTATGAGCAAGATACTTTAATTCTCTAGATATCAAAAGATATATCCTATAATATTTTAATAGGGCTATGGATTTTACACAATCTGACCCACTTTTTGTCTAGTAGGTGGAGCCAGCAGAAGCCATGCTGCATCTAAGAATTCTATAGTTGGAGGTTCTTTTCTATAACTGACACTGGCTGGGGAGTCTCCTTTTTAAAGATTGGAGCTGATGTGTTTTCTGTGGGTAGTGTCACACTTGTTCAAAAACATCGTTACCGGTAAATCGAACTTGAGGGTTGTTTTTTTTCCAGCATAGCTGGAAAGTAATTGTTAATATGAAAACCAGTCCAGAGCACCACTCACTGAGTGGATTGATGACTACATAAAACATTGCAATATTTCATATTTAACAAATCATAACATACATACTGGAGATCATCTAAACCAGCCCCAAAAGGTCTTGGACCATGTAAGAAAGTCTTCCTTTTTGTCCTAAGAATGTTAATGGGCCTGTTACTGCAGCAGGTCCTGACTAAATGTTTTTATTTGATTATACCCCTTACTTTTGAGGGTAAGAAAAAAAAAATGATGCTTTCCTTCATCATGGCTGGAACATACCAGAATTCATATGCCTCTCTGGAGCTCTCGGACCACCAGCTGACTGCAGTCTGGGGCACAGTCTATAAGGAAGTTAGAAAAGATAGCCTGGTCACTATCACTCCTTGAGGAAGGAACCACCACCATGGCTGGAACATACTGGAATTCTTATGCCTATCTGGAGCTCCCGGACCACGAGCTGACCACGGTCTTGGGCACAGTATACAAGGAAGATAGAAATATAGCCTAGTCACTGTCACCCCTTCATAAAGGAACCACCACCAAGGCTGGAACATACCAGAATTCTTATGCAGATCTGGAGTTCTCTGGATCACCAGCTGACCAGAATCTACAAGGAAGTTAGGAAAGATAGCCTGGTCACTATCAACCCCTGAGAAAGGAACCACCACCATGGCTGGAACATAGGCATAATATCTGGAGCTCATGGACCACGGTCTGGGGCACAGTATACAATGAAGTTACAAAAGATAACCTGGTCACTCTCACCCCTTGAGAAAGGAACCACTACCATGGCTGGAACATACCAGAATCCTTATGCCTATCTGGAGCTCCTGGACCACCAGCTGACCACGGTCTGGGGCACAGTCTACAAGGAAGTTGGTAAAGATAGCCTGGTCACCATCACCCCTTGAGAAAGGAACCACCACCATGGTTAGAACATACTGGAATTCTTATGCCTATCTGAAGCTCCTGGGGCGCAGTCTACAAGGAAGTTAGAAAATATAACCTGGTCACTATCCTGTGAAAGGAACCACAACTTTTGTAGCTCTAAGGACACATAAGAATAAATGCTCAGTGTCCACTACAGGAGAAACCTTTAACTCCTGTCTGGTCCTTCTACAGATTGTCTAATTTTATTAAAACAGTCTGGGATCTAGTTGTTGTTTTAGAAAGCAGAAGTGCCCCCAGGGCCATCCGTGCCACTCGAGAAGGTCAAATGTGTCTTCTATGAAGTAGAACACGCCGTGCACACCGTGATTCTCTGCTCCTAATGGCCCTAGCCGTGATTATCTTCTGGGAAGTTGCACGTTTTCTGTTATTGGCAGGTTCTATTCCCGGCCGTGGCTCATTAGAAGTGACTGACCCCTCAAGTCCCCGGGGAGGTTGAGGTGATGAGCTTTACATCTCGTTACAGCTTGTCTAATTGTCCTAATACACGTTGCTGGATGGGCTAACGAGATTTGTAAATGGGTTTTCGAGAGAAGAGGCGGTTATTTCTATTACCGTTCTGCTAAGCCCTGCATCCGGAGAATATGTATTTATAACTCAGAGGCTTGTTTATAAACCCAAGGCTATAAATAAAAAAATAAAAGTGTTGCCTATGACAACCAAAATCCAAATCATTTTTAAGTGCGTGTTAGAAAATATTCACAGAAACCATTTTTTAATAATTACTTTTGTCCGGCGGATTTACAGATGGAAACCAATTGCAGAGGAAACATCGCGGCTGCTCCTGAGCTCTCACATAGCAGCAGTAAATCTGTATTTCTGAGTGACTTACATAGCCACATAACCGCTTCTGCTGAGGAACGGAAATGGATGGTTGCGAGGAAGAAGAGAACAATAACAAATGGGTTCTTAGGGTTTGTTCACACCAAGTGCGTTTCAGCAGAGTAGACCTGTTACAGAACGGATCAAAACTGCGTCCAATGTATTCCAATGGTATTTTGGGCTCTAGTTCACACCGCAGTGTTCAGTTCCAGAGCATATAAAAAAAAACAGCAGCAAGCCCTATTTTACCAGCTCTGGAACGCATCAAAAACGCCCTGGAATGCACTCAAAGCCCATTTTAAACTAAAACGTCCCTGAACGCATTAAAAACATGGCAAAGAAGGCGGTATAACACACTGCACTGCGTGTGCAGAAACTATTGCAGATTTGGTGTGAACAAGGCCTTAAAGTGACATTTAAACCCTCAGATTTTTTAACATAAACCAATACTGTAATGTGGGCCTTACTGTAATCCATGGTTGTTTCCCTTCTCTTTGCTGCTCTTCCTTTTAAATCCTCATGTCTTCTCATGCTGGGGGAGAACTTCCCTTTGCAGCTGACTGCCTCTTCCTGTAGTGCTGGCTCAGGTTACAAGCCTACACACAGACACCGTGTATCCATTCCAGAGACAAGGCAGTCTGCTGCAAAACAGAAGTTCTCCCCAAGCATGAGGACAGATACAGATTTAAAAGGAAGAGCAGCAAAGAGAAGGGAAACTACCATGGATTACAGTAAGGCACACATTACAGTATTGTTTTATGTTACAAAATCTGAGGGTTTAATGTCACTTTAAGAGTTGACAAACTAATTAAAAGCAATGCACTCACTCTACGGCTAATGCTTTATCTGGTGTTGGTTAACTAAATAAAATAAGAAACACATGGGATACAATGCCTTGTGAACATTTCATTAACTTGTCTGCATAAATACATTTCTGACATGTCATAGTATACAGTAACAGTATCATTGGTCACAAAAGCTCTGCCTTTTAGCATTAAAAATCAGATAATGATGAAAAAGATGGTCAGTCTGCTGCAGGCAGGAGGAAGCATTTCCTCAATCTCCCCTCCCCCAGTAATCAGTCTGCTGCAGGCAGGAAGAAGCATTTGTAGCAAGTCACAAAAGTGAGATACAGCAGCCTGGGCAGATCTATGTCAGACATTTGTAAACACAGGCAGAAACTGGTGGTCTGCATTGGAGAGAACCTATTGCTTTGAACAAAGCATAGGTTCCCGTTAAAGCTGGACTCCATGATTATATAACAGACACAAATGAATGCAGTTGTATATACATAAATACATTGTTACAAGTAGTGTAAACACTTAAATTTGCCCTGGCAGCAGACTGAGAAAGGGAGAAGCAGCACAAGGAGCCAATCAGATCCTGCATTGCTCATGTGCTAGCTAGGGACGTGCTGAAATGAGTAGAGAGCAGAGAGATAATCTCATCCGTCTGCTGTTTCTCCTTTGACCATTCACAGGCTGGGGGAAGGACAAGACCTGTAAATGTTACTCAATTACTGCACAGAAAAATCAAGTCTCCAGCCTTGCCAGACAGGGCAGTGCCGTGGCAGAGCTATGTACATATCAGGACTGGATGAACAGAAATGCAAATCCAATGCCAGGTATAACAGCTCTGATATTTGTATTTTATCTGTGTTTGCAGCTTTGAATATTCTTGTTAATAGGCTTTAGAGATAATGATATCCTGTTGGAGGAACATGTATGGGGGGTTCACTGGTCATCTTCACTTAACCTGTCCTCTTATGTGTAAGATTACATCGACAATGTGCCATATTGGAAGCAACCCTTGAAGATCCCACACTCAAGGGCTGAGACCCACTGACTAACCCATTGTGGGAACTCTTTGTCATCTTTTAAATGTTGATTTGTAAAAGTAAGATTGTGCACATATAATAAAAAAAAGATATAAAACTGTAATTGAAAAACTTAAAAAAAGGAAACAAAATTGACCCAAAAACTGGTCATCTTCAGTCTTCACATAACCTGTCCTCTTATGTGTAAGATCGGATCGATGATGTGCCATATTGGAAGCAACCCTTGAAGATCCCACACTCAAGGGCATGCCAACACCAGGCAACCTTTGAAGATCTCATACAGCTTGAGACCCACTGAGTAACCCTTTGTGGGAATCCTTTGTCATCCATTAAATGTTGATTTGTAAAACACAGATTGTATACATATGGTAAAAAAAGAAAGAAAACTGTAATTGAAAAACCTAAAAAAAGGAAACATAATGGACCCAAAACTGTTATAGTTTCACTTTAATCAGAAGGTATTGAAGCCAGGCTTGACCATGAGGGGCATCCTTTGAAACATGCTTCCTTTACTCCCCGGACTCCCATCCTGGCACAGCCTGCAACCCCTTCCTCATAGAGATGCCTCCAAAGAAATGGTGGATGCTGCAGCTTATGTAAAGCTTCAGCGGGTCCCATCTGTAGCAGTGACGGCCATAAGAACATCTTCCCAGCTCTGCCACTGGCCATGGCATGCGGGCCACCACTGGACTGATCACCTCTAGCCTAATATCCACGGTTGTGACTGGGGAAAGTGCGTTGCCACTTTTGTTTTTAATTAATAAAGACCCCGTTAAACACTTTATTGTACATGATCTGTGCGCTCTTTCTTTTCTTTCCTGATGTCAGTATTGAAGCCAGAGGACAACCAGTGTTATCCTACATATTTATTTATTTATTATGTGATGGATTTTATTTAATCACCTGCATTGGACAATGGGGATCATTTTATACTGTACAGAACATGTTAGATGTATTATGCCTTCGGATGTGCACTAGAGGGAACTGACCTGTATCTCCAGTTCCTGAAGCAGATGCTGATTGTGTGGAAAGCTGAGGTTGCCCAGGTCCCAGGTGTCTGTATTGAGAGGGCTTATAACACCCTCCCTGCCATGGCAACCAGATGCATTGGAGGAACCAGGCTGCAAATAGACACCTTTTCTCTCTGTCCCTTTTAAGTGCATCTGCCTTGCTAATGATGAATGATCAAAGCCTCAATAGACACGCCAGACTGGAAGCGTGAAGTCACCACCTCTTCTGTTTTCTGTTCATTATCTGGAGTTTATCAGATTCTGAGGCTTCCTTTGAGGGATCTCTGTAAGTGAAAATTTGAGGAGAACATCCCAGGGTTTGTTCCAGCTATGGGATCGGCAGCTTCGGCACACAGGCAGAATACAATCTACGTGGAGGTGGATGGAAAGGTGCAGAAGGTGGGTACAAAAGTAAACTTTTGTGTTGATGGTGGGACGTCATGGTGGTACTGTTGAAAACATGAACAGCTTAAAGAAGCCGTTCCCAACTGTTTACCCCAGATGAATGCCCTAGTCCAGTGGTGGCGAACCTTGGCACTCCAGCTGTGCCAAAACTACAAATCCCAACATGCATCTGCCTCTGGGAGTTATGTCTGTGGCTGTCAGAGCCATGCAATGCCTCATGGGACTTGTAGTTCCAAAACAGCTGGAGTGCCAAGGTTCGCCACCACTGCCCTAGTCCTTTCAAATTAATTTTCAGGTCTCGGGGAACCCTTGCTAAAAAAAGTCAGTTGGAAGAATGGCCGATATATTGGTGGTCAGTGGGAAAGGTGCCCCTTTTATTGGTGGTCAGTAGGAATAATGCGCCTTACATTGGTGGTTAGTGGTAAGAATGCCCCTTACATCGATGGTCAGACTGCTCCCTAAAGGAGTGGCCAATTGGAAGAGTGTTCTTTACATTAAAAGTCAGTGGGAAGAATGTTCCTTACATTGGAGATTAGTACGACAAATGCCCCTTAGATTGGTATTCAGTATGAAGAATGCCTCTCACATTGTTGGTCAAGGAGAAGAATGTTCCTTATATAGGTGGTCGGTGGAATGAATGCTCCTAATATTGGTGGTTGGTGGGAAGAATGCCACTTACGTTGGTGGGAAGAATGCCTCTTACATTGGTGGTCATGGAAGAAGTGCCCCCTTTACATTGGTGGTCAGTGAGAAGAATGACCCTTACATTGGTGGTCATGGAAGAAGTGCCCCCTTTACATTGGTGGTCAGTGAGAAGAATGACCCTTACATTGGTGGTCATGGAAGAAGTGCCCCCTTTACATTGGTGGTCAGTGAGAAGAATGACCCTTACATTGGTGGTCATGGGAGAAGTGCCACCTTTACATTGGTGGTCAGTGAGAAGAATGCCCCTTACATTGGCGGTCATGGGAGAAGTGCCCCCTTTACATTGGTGGTCAGAAAGACACCCTTACATATAGTTAAAAATATCTGTGGTGTTATGCTGCTGTCTCTGCCAACTGGCATTGGACCTGAAACTATGCAGGTGCCATCAGCTGGGAGGTCAATTAGCCACAGCTCAAAGAACCCCTGGCAACCTCTGGAGGACACCTACATAGGGTTTCATGGAACCCTGGTTCAGAATTGATGGCTTAAAGGATATCTAAACCCAAGAATGAGAATGTACCATACTGCAGCTTACCAGTTCTTAGATGTGGTGGCTGCGTTAAGTTTCAGTCTATGAACACTTCAGAAAGTTCTGAAAATTCCTACAGATCTTGTACAAAAAACATTATCTTCCTTCCAAGCTATCTTCTATAAACAAATTCCCCTGCCATCCATGCAATGCAGATAGCAAGAGAAAGACAGGTATGTGGTCCAAATCCGGAGAACAGCCTACGGCGACCACCACGGCTCTCTCCACAGATACAGGACAGTGACTGAGCATAAGCACCCTGGGACAGGAAGTGTCATTTGGAATGAGACCAGGTAAAAATAAGGCGACAAATGGGACCAGGTAAAAAAAAAAGAAAACAAATGCATCCACTACATCTAAGTTCTGGTAAGCTGCAATATATAACTTCTGATGGGTTTAGATATGCTTTAACATACACAGTGGAGATGACCAACCACCCTCCTGTTATGTTGCAAGGCAAGATTGATAACCATTAAGCCCCTGTTCTGCCTGTTGTGTCTGTGGCTTGTCCTGCCTTAACTCATATTAATCTAAAACTATACCATTTGACATTTCACAGGTCATTTTCAGTCAGCAGAGCAGTTCCAATGTGATAAAACGTCTTCTTTGTTCTTCTGCCGGACTTCCTTGGTAATAAAATGTACACGTGATATGTGTATAATGTATAGTATGTTACAAGTTGCAGTGATTTACCGTGTTAGATATAAATAGTAATAAGAAAGTATAAATGTAGGTGATCGCTTTGGAATACACGTAGACTGGCTTCATACTTATGGGTTGCAGTAGTGCAGGATGAAACAGTTGGAATGCCACCCCAATGCACACTACACTAGGTGCCGCCTGCACTGCAGCACACCACAACAAACCTACCCAAAAGGTTGTATAAGTGAGAGTCATGTGACAAGGGATGCAAGGGATGAGTTGACTTGTTGCCTTATGTTGCTGGTTAAAGAAAAACATATAGAAAATACATGTCCATCGCCTAATTTTCTATACCTAAAGGCAAACACCCATCATCCTTGTGGACCATCGAGGATCAGTCATTGCCACGGACACCACCGTTCCTGCCAATAATAAGAGGTACGTTCTTACCTTGAAAGTAAACTGTAATACTTTGGGGCCATTTTATTTATTTATACATTTTTTTAAACTGATGTTTTGTATCTACTTTGTTACTATAGTTATACAATCTTTCTTTTAGTATGTGACAAAGGATTTCCAGAACACTATGGGTTCTCTCAAGAGACAGTAGGGCAGATGCTGCTTGCCTTTAGACTTTCTGTCTATGATTGAAACTTTGGGCAGAGCATGCAGCTGAGCTGTTTTTAAATAACACCATTTACAGCTTTTTATGTTAGGCGCACACTCTTTGTGCAGAAATTAAGATATTGGATATTATGTGACTTTACTGTATGGCCTATTGGAGTGGTGGTGAACCTTGGCATTCCAGCTGTTCCAAAACTACAAATCCCAACATGCACCTGCATCTGGGAGTTATGTATGTGGCTGTCAGAGCCTTGCAATGCCTCATGGGACTTGTAGTTCCAAAACAGCTGGAGTGCCAAGGTTCGCCACCACTGGCCTATTGAGTTTATATGAGCTGCCATGATAAGCAAAAACGAGACAGCAAGATGTCTCCCATGTGATTACTAGCAGACTTAGCGTCATGCTGTTAAATATTTTAATATGTGAAATACCTTCCCATCTGACTCCTCCTCAATACTTTACTAGGACATTCAAGAATTATTTTAGTTTTAAAAGGTTTTATTGTGGGAAAGAGCACATAGAACTCAGACATTTGCCATAGGCCCCGTGTAGACGGCAAGAAAATTGTGCACAGATGTACACAAAATCGGTGTAAGAGGTCTTGTAAACCCATTTTGGTGAATTGTCCTTTAAATATACCCCGCCCACCTCAGCGTTGCCCCCTCATTATTATACGTACCTTCATCCCTGCCAGAGTTTTACACTGTGTGGCCTAGACTAGGAATACACAGTGCCTAGTGGCTAGTCCACTTGCACACCATGTCCCTATTCATGCCAAGATGGTCCATACTTGGCCAGACAGCTGAAGCTGAGCAGGGGGGTGGGGTCATTATTTGAAAAGATAAGGTGGTTGTTCCTTTTATATGCTGTATGGATCTGGCCATTGCAGTGTGCTGAACCAGCCTGTGAGCCAGGAACCCCATCCTTGGGGGTTTGCCAACTCCTAGTGGAACCACAAGGCCTTCTGGGATGGTTTTAGAGAGTATTGTGGGAGAAGTCTGGTAATCTTATCCTGATGGAATGGGACCATACAGTTTTATGGTCCACCAGATATGTGATTTACTGCCACCATCAGGGCAACATCTGAAGCATGTTGCAAGGGGACTGCTATGAATTCAATGAAGCCTGGTGTGGACCATGCAAGTCCTGTGCAGGTTAGATGACTGTGGTTAGGGTCTTGCGACAAAGCTGGCATTTGGTGTGAACATGGTCCTACTTCCATTTGATCTTAAAGGGTTTTTTATTGGGGGATGCTATGTGTATATATATATCCCTAGTCAACCAGCAGCTCCAATGGTGCCATGTTCTTTTGTCTTTTCCTCTGACAGCAGGTGTGGGTGGTCCTTCCTTCAGGATTGAACAGTGCCCAGGACTTGATGTGTGTCTAGTGCAGTAGAACAGTGAACCCTCAATTGCTGGGGGGAGGGTTGAGTCCATGACAGCCTGGGCTTACAGGAAGTGGGTTAGGTTACGCTGGCTGTCATACAACTTGAATGACTGGTGGCATCTAGTTGTGACAAGGAATTACTGCGTGGGACAGCTCCGGACTGATGGTGGAGGTGAGTATTGTTGTGCATCGTTTTTTAAACTGAAGTTCCATTATAGGTGATGGCTAAAGAGCCATTGAAAATTGTGTTGGGGGAGTCACAGATCAGGAATGCTTTTAAAACCTAATTTTTCATGAACCATTTTGTAAATATTGTATATCGACTGATTTGTTCCTCACTGAACACCTGTGTGATGTCTAATCATTTTCTATCTTCAGCTCTCCTTATCGAATTATCCCCCAAGCTGTAAATCAGAAACCAGGTAAGGTTTAAATAATATGTACAGGTCTTCCTACACTGAATGGAGAGAACAGCACAGATAATGTCAGTATTTTGGTTTTTGGTGCCAGGAACCCAGTGCTGCAGGTGAACAAATAATGTTCCTCCAAATGCGTTGCCTCCTAACTTTACAGTATATGAAAACCCTAACAATGAACTTCTCTTATTTGGTTCCTTTTGGTCTGTTACACCATTTGGTTTGTTAAACCATTGAAAGGGTTTTGAAATATTTGTTCAACAAGTGCACAAATTACCCATCGATCCTCTTAGAAATTTAGTGATAACCTCCTGTGTTCCCTGCATCAGCTGACTGTCATTAGTTACATTGTTTCCAGTATGGACTTCAGAATGCAACCCCCCCTCCCATGTCATGCAGAAAAGAAGAGGGGTAGGGGTGCTGTAGCCATATCTTGGAGTGTCAACACAGCTTTTCTGTAGATATGTTGTCACCCTAGGACAGGAAGAAAAAAAAAACCTTAAAAACCTAATGCTGCCACCATATCTAAGGACTGGTAAGCTGCAATATATTCAATTTTTTTCTTGGGTTTGGATACACTTTTATGGTTTTCAGTTTTTGTCTATACCATAAGTTTAGCAGCCTGCCTTGTGGTTGCCTCTGTCTGACTGAAACAGTAGCAGCCTGCCTTGTGGTTGCCTCTGTCTGACTGAAACAGTAGCAGCCTGCCTTGTGGTTGCCTCTGTCTGACTGAAACTTCACTCTCATTTAAAGGAGAACTATGAGGTGAGTGAAAATCACTCATCAATTGTCGGGATCCGTCCCGGCTGCGGCGTCTGAGCTACAGCTCGCGGTATACTGAGCTTAGGGTGACGGGAGGACGCTAGTTTGTGTTCTCCCGTTACCCTAAGGAGAACTATGGGGAAAAACACTGACCCCATAGTTCTCCTTTAATAAGGGATGAGCCACTGCTGATGACACATTTGGTGCTGTTGATCGCTGTAGACTGTATTATGTTAAAAACACACAGAGCAGTCTCTGAGGGGCATGTGAAAATGAGACTAAAGCCGCATTTGCTGGCTAATAAAAAAAAATAATATGCGATATTTCATATTTAAACAACAATGTTATGTTTATATCAACAATTCACTTTTTTCTTTCAGACAAAGAAGACATTTTCCAGAATATTCTGAGTCAAGTTTCTGAGGAATTTTCAAGGTAGAAACCAACAAAGGCAGAAAACTAATGATGTCAGCTCACATGGTCTATCCTGCGCTAGAATCTGATTATTCATAGACACACGCGATGACATTTCCTAGACACAGTTAATGAATCTGTTTCATAAAGTAAACTTTACTGGTTTGAAATTTTTTTTTAACTACGGAGGAATTTATTTGCCGCTCACTTTGATACTTAGCAAGGGAGAAAAACTGGCATCAGTTTATGACTAGGAAGGAAGGTGCACATGTGACAGGTGGGCAGTTCGTTGCATAATCCACATTTTCTATCATTTAGCCCTGCCACCCCGAGAAAATAGGATGTATTTAACACCCGCTCCTAATATGTGAATACATTCAGCTGCATGCATTTGCAAACATATTTGAAAGCTACCCACACTAGACATGTAAGCTGCGGAAAAATCCAGTTCTTTTAGGATATTTCGGGATTCGGATCCGAAATTCAATTTGGTTCGGGTTTTGGCTTCGAAATCCGAATTTCTTTAGTTTCGGATGAGTTTACAAACGTTTATTCGTTATATAAAACCATATACAGATATTAAAACTAAAGCTGAATCTCCTAGACCCGAATGGCATTCGGGATCCGAATTTCGGAATTGCATTGGGGAGCTCCTGAATGCCATTCGGGTGTGGGAGCCTCAGCTTTGGTAATATACTGTATGTATATGGCTCCCGGACCCGAATGGCATTCAGGAACTCCCCAATGCAATTCGGATCTCGAATGCCATTCGGGTCTAGGAGCCTCAGCTTTAGTCTTGTATGTATATACTGTATATGGCTCCCATGTTGCCGTAACGAAAATCCGTGTTCAGACCCATTCCGATGCATTAAACCTAAACACATCTGATTGGCCAGAAAAGTCACGTGTCCGATTCAGTTTGGTTTTTGAACGAAATTCGGACAGGTTACTAAATTCAGAAACAGAATTTCAGATTCGGACACATTCGGACACATTCGGATGCATTGGGATTGGGAAATTCAGATGTGCCCGAATGTCCGAATTTCTGAAAATTTGTCCGAATTTTGATTGGGAACGAAACAAATCACACATGTCTAACCCACACATCTTGATGATATAAACCAGTACTATCCAGATGTTTAAGATATTATAATATAATGATATTATTCCCATAATATGTGGTGACAATCCAGTGACCGTGTTTCCTTTCTTTTCCAGAACTTTCCGGATTAGCGAGCTGAAGAGGGAGGTCGGTGAGCGGCTCACAGTCTTAGAACAAAGGGTGGAAGGTGAGATGATCATGCATTATCCTGGTGTAGGGTTGCCACCTGTCCAGGATTCACCCGGACAGTCCAGGTTTTGAATGCTGTGTTCGGGTTTCATGGCATCAGAAACCCGGACACAAGATGTCAGGCAGACAGGGGAAACCAAAATTAAGGTAGGGGCTACTGGCCCCCCACTGAAAACAGTCTCAACTGTGATATTTACATATGAATGGGCGGCGCTATTTACATGTGAATAAGCTACGACTTATTCTCCCAAAAAAATGTCTGCGCGTCGCCTGAGTTTTCGGGTTTCGCTTGAAGAAAAGGTGGCAACCCTATCCTGGTGATAAAGTTGAAGCTCATGTCAATGGGCGCATTCAGGTGCATTTAGCTTGCATTTGAGATCAGTTTAAAATGCTTCTGGGTTCCAGCCAAGATCCTTCATGGGTGCATTCGACCTAGAATTGGCCTACAGTTGTCCTCCTTCTAAGCTGCATCAAGCTCCTTTTGCATTCCCTTTGACTTGTATAGAGATAAATAAAGTTCAACAAAAGATCATTAGATTATAAATGTGTACATCACAGTGCTGTAGATTTGGTTCTGTTTGGGAATGGATATGTCATCATGGGGAATTTCCTTTCATGACACTTCTTGATACAGCGGATGATCTTGTGACACATATGAGCAATAAGTAATGACCTAAAGGTATCTTCTCTGGTCTAATCAAAGTGAACATCAGATAAACTTACAGAAACTCTTTTCATTCATTCCCTTGTCTCTGCAGTTGAAGGTCAGAAGGTTCTCGGCATTGACAAGTGTAAGAACGAGCTGAGGAAGCTCCGGGATGAACTAGACAAGAAGAACCACAGGTGAGGGGAAGTCTTTTCTTATGAAATATCTGATACAGGAAAATAGAAAGACAAGAGCATGTGATCTGACATGCCAACTAGAAGAAGAAACCACCCAAAGCAGTTCATGTAATTGAACCTTTGTAGGCCTTACCTTAATGTCCAGAGATGTCACTTTCCTTCAGCCATCTGCTTACCCTCTTTACTTTTACATGGTATGGTACTTGTAGAAAGCCTGTAGGTTTTTTTTTCATGGTCTTTTGGGCAATTTACCGTTAGGTAAACCAGTCCCCAGACACTTCCATGCGCATGCACACATAGTCCCAGGTGCTGTAATTATGCAAGTGGTGACCATAACTTGGATCGTAGCACTTTGGCCTACTACCAACGCCTTCCCACCACTAATGTTGTTGTTGTCTGGCTTTAATAGCCTGGAAGGAGCAGAAGGGGGTTACAGACCAGAGCATACAGTATAATAAACAAATGCTTAGGCAGACGTTATCTTCAATGAAAAACTGGTGTCAAAATGGTCAGCAGTTTCTAAGATAGGCAGATGAAATTATTATTATTATACAGGATCTATATGTCGCCAACAGTTTGCGCAGCACTTTACAATATAAGGAAGACATTACAATCACAATACAAATCAAAACAAGATGGTAAGGAGGGCCCTGCCCCTGAGGGCTTACAATCTAAAAGGGAGGGGCAAGTGATACATGAGGAGGGAGCTGTGTGGGGATGAATTGTATGAGAACGTGATGGTTGAGCGGTTAGGTTGAGGTGGGATAGGCTTCCCTGAAGAGATGAGTCTTAAGGGATTGCCTAAAGGCAGTCAGAGTGAGAGATAGACAGACAGGTTGGTGGAAAGAGTTCCAGAGGATGGGAGAGACTCTAGAGAAATCCTGGAGGCGAGCATGGGAGGAGTTGACGAGGGAACTGGAAAGCAGGAGGTCTTTGGAAGAGCGGAGGGGACGGTTAGGGTGATACTGTGAGACCAGGTTATAGACAGATCTTTACTGTTTATGTGAAAATTCTACCAGACACCTCCTAACTCTTTGTTGGCCTATGGGGACCCCCATTGTGTGAAAGGACCAGGGGAGAGGCCAGGCTTTTTCAGGAAGAGTGAAGATATGCATAGGACTTCAGCATATAACTCTGTTTATGTATTTTTTCATAATTTGCTAAAGTTTTTCTCCGGTTTACTCTAATATGCCACTGCATATCTTCACTTTTCCATAATCCGTCTCATCTTATAGCTCTGTCCAGTAGCTGAATTCTGTGGTATGTTGGCTATTAGTATTAGTATGAGTGATGGTGAAAGTGAGGCCTGTAACGTCCAGAATGGATCAGTAATATGATGACAAATAAAATAAATATAACAGGCCGAGAAGGATACATTAAAGCTCTATCAATTTTACATTTGTTCAATATGTTTACAGCAAACCTGCAGAGGTAGACATTTTTTGGAAAGTGCCATTTGCAATGCAGGACAGGTACATCCAGGTACCAGCATATCATCCTCACTTTCCTTCTAGAGCACCCTAGGGGCCCCAAGAGTGCCTGAGCCAATATGGTTGTGGTCTCTGCCATACGCTCACTGCCTCATAACTGATCAGTCGGGCTGCCAATCATAGCAATGGGCCAGTAGTGAGACACCAGTTGGGTGAGATTGAGATCACAACCATAGTAACACAGACAGTGTTTGCATAATGTGGCATCATTTTGCATTTTGGGCACTCCCAGACACTCTAGAACCGTGGTTCTCAACTGGTGGGTCGTGACTCATAAGTGGGTCGCAACCCCGTGTTCAGTGGGTCGCTGCGTGCCTTTTACTGCGCTAGGTAAGAGGCTCCTCAGTCTTCCCCTAGCACAGCACTGTCAGTTCACGCACTGAGCAGCGATTCAAAATATGCTGCCCACAGCAAGTATCAGCTTTAAGTGGGGTGGGCTAGGGTTATGGCCGCGAGGGAGCTTCACCATATGTGCATTGCTTACAGCTCCTTCGCGTGTCCTGTAGAGGTGCCTGAACTGGAGTGACGTTGCATTCTGGTTCCCGGCACCTCTACAGGGCACGCAAGGAATGCACATATGGATGGAGCTCCATCACAGCACAGCAACCCACACTGGACCCCAGGCTGATGATCCCCTCCAGTTCTCGTAAGGTAGGAAGACTGGGTGGATCTTATATGCTGGCTCCACTCTTCTCTCAATATCATCACCTTAAACCTATAAATGGTTGTAGAAGGCAATCATTACTGACCTTGACTGTAGAAACCGCCTCTCCCAGATCCCAGAAAAATGCATACCTCCTACATACATTTACTATGAATGTTATCTGACCCCAGGAAATGCCTGATTCACATATGGCCGAATGATATGGTTATTCCGCTATGGGTGTTTGTATTGTCCCAACAGACTTAACTCCCCATGTAGATGTTACCAGTCTGAGGAATTCATCCGAGTGAACCCGCGTAAAGATGTCCCCAACTACCCCAAGGTAAGTTTACAGCTTCATGCACAGCGTGTAAATATACCCGTTAGGTTTGGAAGATGAGCCAGTCTGAGAAATGTTATGTCTTTGACCAGACAGGAATTTTGGAATATACAATGATAGATAAACCTAATAAGCAGCAATGTAATTGCAGATTTCCAGTTCTTAGATGTGGTGGCTGCATTAGTTTGCACCTAGTAATCCTGCCAGTAACACACTCACCACAGAACAGCCCCCCTCTTCTTTTTATCTGTTTATCTCCATAACCTCAACACACTTCCAGTTTGTACGGTGACAACACTCACTTACTCTACTGTATCTACAGAGGATCAGTGTTGTCACCCTAGGACAGGGCTGCAGAACACCCCCTCTTCTCTTTGTCTCTTTAATGACAATGCTTACTTACTGTACTGTATCTATGGAGGAGCAGCAATTTCACCCTAGGACAGGACTACAGAACCCTAGGACAGGACAACATAACCACAGCACACTTCCTGATAACATTGTTTGAGATAACACTGCAGAGTGCACAGGGCACAGAACAGTACTGGATTTCTGGCAGGATCAGACGGTATTGTGTTGCTCCTGTCGAACAGATACAACAAAACACTTTCAATGGAATGGGAGCAAATAAGGGTTCATTTTTAGGGTTTACACACGCATTTATTTTTTTTACTTACATTGCCTGGCCAAAAAAAAAAAAAGTCACCACCTGGATTTAGTGAAATGATCTGGGGTTGCTTCAGTTGGCCAGGTCTAGGTTCAGCAACGTTATGTCCCCAGAAAATGAGGTCAGCTGCCTACCTGAATATACTGAATGACCAGGTTTTCCCATCAATGGATTTGTTCTTCCCTGATGGCACATTGGGCATATTCCAAGATGACAATGCCGGGACTCATCGGGCTCAGATTGTGAAAGAGTGGTTCAGGGAGCATGAGGCATCATTGTCACACATGGATTGGCCACCACAGAGTCCTGATCTTAACCCCATTGAGAGTCTTTGGGATGTGCTGGAGAAGACTTTACACAGAGGTCTGACTCTCCCATCATCACTACAAGATCCTGGTGAACAATTAATGCAACTCTGGGTGGAAATAAATGCTGTAACATTGCAAAAGCTTATCGAAACAATGCCACAGGGAATGCGTTCCGTAATCAAAGCTAAAGGCGGTCCAACGGAATATTAGAGTGTGTGACAATTTTTTTGCCCAGGCCGTGTATATGACAATATTGCTAACAGTACAAGAAAAATAAGAAATAAAGTAGAAATGTGTTGAACCCACCCAAATAACCAATGGATGTGGTGATAACATTGAACACACCATGATCACATTCTACTAAAGGCAGTTATGTACATCTACACCCCGACAGAGCAGCGATCCTTACCCTGGTTGTTGTTGTTGTCTGTGTCTCAGTTGTTTTACCTATACAAGTGAAGAAGTCACTGGCACTCCGAATTTCCAAATGTCAAATCTTTATTGACATCCTTAAGGGTTAGTTCACACCAGAAACTGCATCACAACTGCGTGCGTCTGCGTAGTTGCAATGCGTTTTGATGAGTTTGCAATGCGTTTCCAATGCGTTTTGTAACTGCACTAAAAAATGCTAATTAGGCATGTAGGTCACTTCCTTTTCCTGTCAGAGCATTTCCTATGTTTGTTTTGTTCGTTTGGGAGCTCAGTCATGCTTTCTTTGTTGGCTGGCATGGTGCTAGTTTTGACTTTAGCAATTTTTTTTTCTTATGTGTTCCGTTGCGTTTGCAATGCGTTTGCACCACGTTTGATGCGTTTTGATGCAGTTAAAGTAGGACAAGCAGTACTTTTTCTGACTGCAGTTGAATGGTGTGAATTAGGCACAAGAAAGCCCATAGGAAAGCATTGAGATGTATTTTAACCGCGCAGTTGAAATAAACGGACTGCATCACAACTGCATATGGTGTGAACAGGCCCTAAAGTGTGTAGTCAAAAACCAGCTGCACTCCTTACCGGAATAGTAGTAAACCTGCCAAGCAGGTGGGTGCTTGTAGTGACCACAGATGGCCCCGTGAACAATGCAGATCCCAGAAAGGATTGTCACCAGCACACCAAAGGTTTTGAAGCAAAAAGTCCTTTATTGACAAATCGCCATCCAATGTATTGGATGGCGATTTGTCAATAAAGGACTTTTTGCTTCAAAACTTTTGGTGTGCTGGTGACAATCCTTTCTAGATCAGGCCCTAAAGTGGTCTCACAATGTGTGGAAACGTTTCGGAAACCCAATTCGGTTCCTTCCTCAGGCAAACAAAGTTGGTTTACCTGGCACCCATTCAATTGACAGATATGAGGAGATCTTCCAAACTGGGACACAGGAAGCAACGAGAACCTGGCATAGGTTCCAACTCTACCCAATTCTTTTCTAAACAAGCAAAGAAAATTGGGCTGGAGTTGGGCTTCAATCATGACATCATCTTTTATAGCTATCAGCCAGTACATGATCATTGTGACAATATTATATGTAATAGAGCCTCCCATGTTGACCACAGAGCTTGCGATCTTCCTCCCTGTGAATTTACCTTTTATAGGGAACAGTTCAGTGTCATACCTTTCACTTGATTCCACAGTACACGCTGTCATCGGAGACCATTGATGCCCTGAAGAAACCCACCTTTGATGTCTGGCACTGGGAATACAATGAGGTGTGTTTGTTATACGTACAGTTTAAAGGTACAACTCCAAACTATATAGATTGAACGCACCACACCTATATCCTTCTATCATTCTTTGGCTGTGCTGGTAATGCTAAGACCAATTGTGCTTTGTCTTAAGATAAAGCTATTTAGTATTTAGCATAAAGTACACTCTTTCCCCATGGAGTTTATTATTTCACTTATACGAGGCAGTGGCCACAGAGGTGTTAATTAACGCACAGAGACATAAGAAGGTGGAATTATCAATGCATTCTGACTGGCATTCTGAATGAAGAACTTGGCTGCAGCAAACAACCAGAGTCTTCCGTGTTTCTAGCGCACTTTGAGAGATGAAAGGCAGAATCTGGTTACTAATAGATGACTAGATTGGTTTTTAATCCTACACTTTCAGCCATAAGGTCCATCATTTTTAAAGAACAGACATAAATAAAATGGTTGGTGGTATGAAATATTCATTTAAAACTGAAATATAGAGAACAACCCTACTAATCACCCTCCCCTCACCCGTACCCATCCCATCTTGACCTATCCCATCCTAACCCATTCCATTCTGACCCATTCCATCCTAACCCATCCCATCATGACCCATTGCATCTGGACCCATCCTATCCTGACCCATCCCATCCTGACCCATTCCATCCTAACCCATCCCATCCTGACCCATTCCATTCTATCCTGGCCCATCCCATCCTGACCTATCCTGACCCTTCCCTTCCTAATCCATTCCATCCTGACCCATCCCATCCTGACCCATCCCATCCTGACCCATTCCATCCTGACCCATTCCATTCTGACCCATCCCATTCTGACCCATCCCATTCTGACCCATCCCATTCTGACCCATCCCATCCTGATCCATCCCATCCTGACCCATCCCATCCTGACATATTCCATCCTAAATCACCAATCCTGACCCATCCCATTCTGACCCATCCCATCCTAATCTATTCCACCCTGACCCATCCCATCCCGACCCATCCCATCTTGACACATTGCATCTTAACCCATCCTATCCTGACCCATCCCATCCAAATCCATTCCATCCTTACCCATCCGATCCTGACCCATTCCATCTTGACTGCCTTGCCCCTTCATTATAATCAACTATAATTATAGCCTTTTAATACTTTCACGTGCTGCATAAAACACTGTGCCGAATTAATTCCCACAGCCGCTGGTTACATGATCTTATATGCCTAGGCAATTGTTATGAATTAACCCATATTCCTGCATGTGAATCCCTCTGATTTCTCCACACAGATGTTGAGCTGCCTGGAGTTTATGTATCATGAGCTTGGACTGGTCCAAGAGTTTAACATGAACCCCATGACTCTGAAACGCTGGCTGGTATGTACCCCAGAGGGTTTCCCTTCATTTCATGGTGTTATCTATCATTTGCAATTAGTTACCGCTTTTGTTAGGATCACCTACAGGGAAGATAAAATGGTATTAAGTGAAATTTATTTTTCACTTTTGAAAGCTTACAATTTTCTTTGTATAAAACTGTTATTTGTCAATGAATCAATATATGGTGCACCCATGACACTCCGATTGCAAAGCATGCTGAGACCGATCATTTTATTTTTAGTAAATGGCTTCTATGTACTTTGTTTAAGTGACTCCATCATGAGAAACTATGAAGACTGCCACTGTTGACCTGTCCCTTTGAGAGTGTTAATTCCTTGGCTGCCATGCTTACGCTTTCCGAGGTTTTGACCGAAACAAGTATAGAGATAACCAATCCCGACACTCAGTTACAGCATGCTTGTTCCGGGTCAATGATTTAAAGCATTGAAGCCAAATCCAGCCAGGCAACTAGGTTTTCAAAAGAGGACAAGCAATGGCAGCCCCCATAATATTCTCATGACTGAGTCACTTTAAGAACGGTGGGATATGTCATGCAATATATGTCAGTACTTATGTTTTCTTTTTTGTTTTGGCTGATCTGCTTCAGTTGTGTATCCAGGAGAATTACAGAAACAATCCATTCCACAACTTCCGCCATTGCTTCTGTGTGACCCAGATGATGTATGGAATGATTCACCTCTGCCAGCTAAAGGTTCAGTAGACACCTTCCTCCTCTTTTTTGTATTATATAAGGATTGCATACCACAGCTAATATACTGTATATGTATATAATCTCTCTCTCCCCCCACCCTCTCTCACTCTCCCCCCACCCTCTCTCTCTCTCCACTCTCTCTCTTTCTCTATCTCCTCTCTCTCTCCTCCCTCACTCTCGCTCTCTCTCTCCTCTCTTGCTCTCCTCTCTCTCTCTTCTCTCTCGCTCACTCTCCTCTCTCTCTCTCTCCCCCACCCTCTCTCTCTCATTTAAACTTTTATACATAATAACAATTTCCCCTCTTCATTCATTCAGGAGCACATGTCACTGTTACAGTTGGGAGTCCTCATTACGGCTGCCGTTTGCCATGATCTTGACCACCCCGGGTACAACAACACGTAAGTTGTAGATCTTCCACTCCATCTGAGGTTATAGAAATATGGACACATGCCCGATATTCAGAATAAATTCATATTTGCCTTCTTAAATCTCACCCACACAAGATACCAGATCAACGCCCACACGGAGCTGGCGATCCGCTACAATGATATCTCTCCCCTGGAGAACCATCACTGTGCCGTGGCGTTCCAAATCCTGGCACAGCCGGAAAATAACATCTTCTCCAATGTGACCCCCGATCTCTTCAAACAGATCCGACAGGTGATGTAAATTGCAGGAGCCTGATGGGGCCCTGTGTACTTCATGACAAGGATCTATAATGATCGTACTCTACTATTTGTCCATTAGCTAATATTGTCTTATATATGTTGCCTGACATGAGTAGTTTCATAGCTTCCTCTTTGGTTGGCTCTCAGCTGAGAGTTGGACCAATTAGCTACAGATAAAGCCTCTGCACTCCTCCCCTTCTGACGGGTGTCTTACCTGCTTAGGTCACCTTGTTTACTTGTATCCAGAGAAATATCTTTTTATGTAGTGAGCACTGCCTTCCGTCTTCCCATCACTTTCAGCAACTTCCTGGATTCCCAGTGTGCTTTGCGCCACTTCCCCTGCTGCATGATGTAATGTAATATCCATTTCTCAAGACTACATATCGCACCATGCATTGTTTCCAGCACGCAATGATGATGTTACAATGTTCAGAGTAGACGTTGAATTGTAGTTTAGAAGGCAGGCTCTTTGAGACCGGTACCACTAGGAAGGAAGCTACCACTAGGGATATTCACAGGGCTGAGTGAAATGGTGTCAGTGCATTGAGGAAGTCCATCCTGGGGGCATCTTCAATACGTAAGTTTACAATCTTCTAGATGAATATGGTTTTTATGAGTGGTATGGAATTTATGGAAATTCAGTATAGAAATACAGATGTATTTATTTTTTAATTTCTTTATATTAGTTTTGGAGTGCAGATACCCTTTAAGGGCTGGGGCAATAGTCTTAGAATAGACAAGCTCACCCAAATGTTGGTATGAGGTTGTGTGATGTACTTATCTGGTGTGAATGCAGATCAAAGCGTACTTTTATTATTACTCTCATAACCTTTGAATTTCTCAACTATTCTCCTCCTGATAGGCAATCATCCGTCTGATTCTAGCGACAGACATGGCAAAACACGGAGAAATTCTGGAGGCCTTTAAACAGACTGTGCCCAAATTTGACTTCTCCAACGAGGAACACGTGAAAACTGTGAGTGTGGGACGTCTAGAACCTACATGGCGAATACAGACTAGGGCAAGATCCACAACTACCCACTGGGGGGGGGGGGGTGTTATCAAGGCAAAGATTGGGTTGTGTGTGTTGCCCATAGGGATGGGATACTTGAATTATCCCACTCTCCAGTGGTAGAGATGGTCTGGTTCTCATGGGCAATGACAGCAATTCCTCAAACTCATAACAATGGCCCTCTGTCATATTCATATGTTTAGGGGAAAGTGGAATCCAGGGGCTGGAAGACAATCCCCAAAATGGTAAGAAGAATATAGTCCTTAATGAAGACACATGCCTTATGTTTGGCAGCTCTCCACAGAGCGGGGATCTCCCTCGGAGCCAGGATCAACCGAGTTGACAAGTCCATGCCTATATGAACCAAAAGAAGAACCGAACAGACGTTCTTAGAGTCCAAAAAGTATTTATGTAGTTCCTCTTTAACAACAACAAGACGATAGTGGCAGAGACGTGTTTCAGGGGCCAAATGATCTCCATTTGTCAGGGTTTAGGCACTTATCAAAATATAATATTGGACTCAGAAAACAGCTCCTGGGTGCTTCAATCTACACCTGGAGATCTGGTCAAAGCATGATTATGGGTGATGGGGAGATTCCTCCATTAGTTATATGGGTACAGTCCTTGCATGCTAAAACTGCTGGACCCTCCCGCCAGCTATGATCTGTCTGTCATTGCACAGAGAAGCAAAGATGACCAGTGATCACATCACTGGGTCGAAAAAAAAGGTATTTTATGAAAGCATTTACCTAAAAATGTGATTAGCATATTGATAAGGGGGAGGGGGGAACCAGGGAAGGCAAAATATTAATACATTAAACTTCAGCTTTAGGTTGTAGCTGTTTAATCCTAAAGACCCTCCAACATTAGTTGTGACTCCTTTCTCTCCCACAGCTGCAGATGATGCTGATAAAATGCTGCGATATCTCTAATGAGGTGCGTCCATCGGAGGTGGCCGAGCCCTGGGTGGACTGTCTGCTGGAGGAGTACTTCATGCAGGTCAGTCCAATCATCCATAGAATACAGAAGCTGCACAGAGGACTCTGCATGCACCAGAGACGGGTTTATATTGGTGTAGCTGGATGTCACATCACTACTCTGTCTTACTCATATGCAATATCTCTGCCTCTTACTACATACAGTCACCTCTCTCCTTGAAGAGAACATGTGAGGATAGAAACGTGGAAGTCATTTCTGACATGGTTATAAAAAAAAAAACATGGAGTCCCCAAAGGCTTAGTAAACTGCCACACAATACAGTGGCTATTTCCAGGTTCTTCATGCTGGTCCAGTTATGTGCTGGTTCTGGAGAGCTACAGAAGCTCTTTATTTAAACAGAGCCTAGCTTCCGTGGTTGTGATCCTGACCCGGCCTCCTCCTATACCTCACAATAGGGTAAGCGAGGTTGCTGATCATGGTGCTAATGTTAGGTGCAGCAGGCAGAAATGGGTGAAGCCAGGCTTTTGATCACGGAACTTGGTCACTGTTTACATTAGAGAGAGCCCCCTGGGGTTTTAGGATTGGAGAACCCTATAGCACCTGCAGTGGTTTGCTATATCATGGAAGTAGTGGTCTACTAACATTGCGGGAACCACTGGTACACGTTAAAGCTGCAGACTCAGGTACTGTCACCCTGATCCTGGCCTCCTTGCGAAGTGAGCTGCATGCTTGTACCAAGTCATTGACTCACTAGGTACCACACAGAGTCAGGATGATATCCCGAAAACTTGCACCTTTAAAAGAAAGTAATCAATGGAAGCTCCCCTATGTCCTTAGGTTCACATTGAATAATTAGTGCTGCTCAAGGACTGCTTTCGCTATCAAACGTCTAGTTATCTTTCCAGTTGTCTCCATTTAGCTCCTTGTGTCACGGCATTGCCAGCATCATACACAGCCCCATCTTCAGACCCATCACATGACTAGACAGGTCAGTATCTCCCATGGGACTAGTTTACACCTCTGTGAACACTCGCTGCTCCTGTGTAGCCAGAATGGCCACTGGTCTTCACTGGGAGCTTCCATCCTTAAGGTGCCCATACACTGTATGATTATCGTACGATAATCGGAAAGTGTATGGAAGGCGTGCGACCGTTTCTTCTCACTGCCCATTCAGCATTGCAGTCATCGCAAGCCCACCCCTCGGGGGTGCGGGCTTGCGATGATGGCAAGTAAGATCTGCCTGTCCAAGATGGGCAGATCGTACGTTTTTTAAATTACTTTACAACCCTCGCAAGACAATAGTCTATAGAGGGTTGTAAAGTGTATGGCCACCTTTAGTCCAGGAATAAGGCCACACGCTTCCCCCTCCAATACATCCCTGGGTACAGGAGGGTTGGTTGTATTTTGGACATGCCTGGGTTATACGAGACACACCAGCCATCAGGCAGTCTATCACATTTAGAGTAATTAGCATGATATGTATTTTGCAGAGCGATCGGGAGAAGTTGGAGGGTCTTCCAGTCACGCCCTTTATGGACCGAGATACAGTCACAAAACCCAAAGCTCAGATTGGATTCATCAAGTTTGTGCTGCTTCCCCTGTTTGAGACCGTCATGAAGGTATGCTCGGGTTAGGTGAATAATACAGGCAGACTGCTTTTATATGGTTGTCTTAATCACCAAGGTTGAATGAGCTTCTCACATGTATTTGGTGTCAAAAAAATATGGCTGGAGAACAGGCACCAAACCACATCAATAGTTGTACTATAACTATATTACTTTATAATATTAGGGTTAGGTTCACCCCGCCACACCCCATCCCCCTGGTCCATCGAGGCCCACCTTGCCCGCACTCCCCTGCAGTGACTCCATCCCTTGCTCTGGCACTACAGTCCCTGATGTTCAACTGTAGAGGAAACTGTGACTTCGTTCCCTAGGTCTGTTTTGCTCAGGCCTAGCAATTGGCTTCTAGACCCACATTCTGTCACATGGGAGGAAGTAACATGCTCCCCCAAGTAACATGCTCTGGCAAGATATCAGTCGGCAGGGCCGGTGCAAGGATTTTTGCCTACACAGGCGAATGTGCATTTTTGCGCCCCCACCCCCCCGCCGTAACAGTACGGAGAACCGCAAAATATGTTGAGCATTAACCTATTCATGTTAGCAGGGGATAATTGTAAAATTTTCTCCTGCTAATACTCATTAGTTCTTATTAGTGACCCCCCCTGCCCTCACTTACTGCTCAATGAAGGTGCCTCGCTGGTGAGGTTGTAGTCAGCGGCACGCTGTGCTGGAGAGCAGCGGCGAGTCAGCGCTGGTCCGGTGGGAGGAGCTCCAGGTGGGGTCCTAATTTAGCTGGCCGGCAACTGCCAGAGGATCTCGACACACGCTGCACCTCAGGCAGTCGCCATCCAGCTAAATTAGGGCCCCACCTGGAGCTCCTCTCACCGGACCAGCGCTGACTCGCCGCTGCTCTCCCGCACCGAAGGTAAGTGAAGGAAGAAAAAAAAAAACATAACGCAAGCATCGGGGCATTTTGACAAGTACAAGTACTTGTCAAAATGCCCTGTTTTTTCCGCCCTCACCCTGCAGCGCCCTCAGGCTGCCGCTTGACTTGCCTTGCGGTAGCGCCAGGCCTGTCAGTCGGTGGGGAAGGGGAAAAGGGATGGGCTTTATTTTTAAGCTCAGGTTTAGGTTTCAGGCTCAATTTAAAAGACAACTGTACATTTGGTATAAGTTGTCCTTTAAGGCACACCCCCCGAGTGCCACTCACCGGGCAAAATCTCACATTGGTCCTCTATTCAGCGTTCTTCATAGAGCTGCAGCTAACGATTATTTTCAAAATCGATTAGTTAGCCGATTATTGAGTTCGATTAATCGGTTAATCGGATAAACAATAAAATACATTATGTATTGCCCTGCCCAGAGCGGCACAGCCTTGTCCAGAAAGTGTCCTCGCTGGGTCTTCCTAACCTCGCTCATGTGCGACGCAGCCCCCTTCATTCCTAGAATGTCGTGTTTGTGGCGGCCTTTGATGGTCCTGCAGAGTACAGCCAGCCCTTCCCATAGGAATGAACAGGACCGTGGCACATATGAGCAGGAGATGCAAAAGCATGGGGAAGCAAAAATGTGCGGCTCCAGGCAGGGCTATACAAGGAAAGATCATTGGTTTGAGGATGAAGGTCAGTATTTCTCCAGGTGGGCTGCACTCAGGGTGATGTGGGCATGTCCTTAAAGACAATTTGTACTTACTGTTATTGTATTTAATAAATAGATTTGTACTTTCACCACCAGAGGGAGCTCTGTATAGACTCCCCCTCATTAGACCTTCCTGCTCTCTCTATACACATTATAACCATGACACTTTTTTTTGGCAGCTCTTCCCACAGATAGAGGAGGCGATGGTGTGTCCTCTGCAGGAAGCCAGGGATCACTATGAGGAGCTCATAGAGCTGGAGGAAGCAATGGCAGAAGTGAGTGTTTTATTTTATACTCGCCATACTTTTTTAAAATGCTTTTTATGTGGAATAGAAAATGAGGTTCTATAAGCTGTACGTGCAGCACTGACGCCGCTGTTATCAGCCCCAGCTCCACATAATATGCAATTCGTTTTGGTGACTGCAGATCGTTGCTTGCACTATTACATGGGTAGGCAAACCTTGTTCCTCCAGCTGTGGTGCAACTATGAATCCTATTAGGCATTGCAAGACTCTGACAGCCACAGGTAGGGCCAGAGTCAGATGCATGGTGGGATTTAAAGTTGCATCACAGCTGGAGGGCCAAGTCTGCCCACCCCTGGACTAGAACCACTGGCTGACACTTACTGGGCCCATGTCCAATGCCCAGTCTTACAGCTGAATCATTCAGCTCCTGGGCTTCTGATCCAACTAAAGAGTCCAAACTGGCTGATATTCACCTTCAGCACAGACCATGTGACCACATTCCTTGGTATATATATATATATATATATATACAGTATATGTATTACAGGTATTTATATAGTGCTGACAATTGACACAGTGCAGCATGGCACAATGTTTGCAGTGTGCCTGCCGCCCCCTTTCCGGCCAGAGCATCCCAGATTGCTAAGAGGAGGCGGGGAGATGTGTAAGGGCCATACATATCTCCCATCTGCCTCTTAGCAACCTGGGAGGTGGCCGGCGGACCCGCTCAGCTCCTGGCAACCAGTGACATCACTGGTTGACAAGAGCTGAGTGGGAAGCTCCGGCTGGGGTCTTGACCCCCTGCCCTGCCTTTCCCCCCATTGTAAGCATGCACCATATAACAGACATATAGTGGAAGTTTCTCAATTGTTACTGCAATAGTGGAAATACAGTTTAAGATTCCTTGCTATTCCTAAAACTAACACTAGATGGCACCATTAGCCTTAGTTATACATTGCAATGGGCACACTGTGCAATGCCCATCAACACAATAGCCGGTAGTTAGGATTGTGGAATGTACTGCTTACTGTCACTGCGGATCCGTCTCCGGATCTGGTATATGTACAATATAATAATAAGAGGTGTCCAAGCCTCTAACAGCTGGAGGAAAATTGCCTCGGGTTTGATACATTGCTAGAGACAACATGGCCCTGGCGGAGTTTGCTGAATTACAGCATCTCCAGTACGGTAAACATTTCAGCTAACCTTCCGAATAAAACCACAAAGTGGATTTACAGCCTTTGTGGCTATTGAGGAATAGATGTAACTGAATGTTTTCGTTCCTCCTGATCCAATCTCCCGGCAGGACTTTTTATTAATTTATATTATGAGGAATGTAAAACTTCCTCATAAGAGAGATGTAAGGCTACAGTACATGATTCTTCCCGCTAGACTCCACTATCTAGTCCTGTGCTGACATGTGGGTGCCCCTTGGTTCAGAAGTACTATGTGAGTCCAGGCTGTGTGATGATGCAGCTCCAGGGGTGTGTCCATGACACCCTAGGCTCACAGGAAGTGCATTGGGTGACACTGGATGTTATTGAACCCGGAAGACTGAGGACATCTAGTGGCAGAGCAGAACTACTGCAAAAGCTGTTTTTAAAAAGTGTTTTCAACCCTTGCAGTGTCTACCTCCGCATTGTAAGGGTTAACTGCTCCTTTTGGTCCAGGGGTCGGAATAAAGAAACTATACTCACCTGATCCTCAGTCCTGCGGTGGTCAGTGCTTTTCTCTCTTCTCCTCCGCCACGGCTGTGGTATGTCCCTTGGCGTCCTCTCATCTAATGCAAATCAGCGGACCCGTATTAGATGTGATGAGATCAGCAGGGCTTAGACCACCAGGGCCCAGCGGAGAAGAGGCTGCAGGGACCGGTCTAGCAGTATATCTTCTTTAATCCAGGCCCTAGACCAGGGGGCGGGGAAACTCCGGCCCTCCAGCTGTTGTGGAACTACAAATGCCATGAGGCATTGCAAGATTCTCACAGTCACCGGCATGACTCCCAGAGACGGATGCATGGTGGGATTTGTAGTTTCACCACAGCTAGCGGGCCAGAGTGTGCCCATCTCTGCTCTAGACCAAAACGAGCAGTTAACCCTCGCAGCGCGGAGGTAGCCCCACTGCAAGGGTTAATTTCTGCACATCCTGGAGTTGCGCTTTACATTTTTACAGATGCAAAAAAAAGAACATCCCGGAGCTCCACAATAATGGGCACATCTACCCAAGACGGTTACTTCCTGTTGAAGGAAAATGGTGGCTGCCATTGCTGACCATTCCTCCTAAAAATGCTAGTGGCCTGGCTGTCATATGTATCCTCGGGCGTCAATACTGTCACTGACCTGGAACAGGAACTATTTATAGGAGCACCCTGGGTAAAATTATTATTAACCCTTGCGGTGGGGCTACCCAGGCACTGGAAGGGTTAAGTGCTCATTTTGGTCTAGGGAGGAAAATAAAAAAGTTAAATTCACATGATTCTCAGAGCTGGTGTCACCCGGTGTGGTCGCCATGCATGCGTGATGATGTCCATGGTGCAACATCATCAGGCATGCTCTTGGTGATGGACGCCGGCAAAGAGAGGAGGAGATATTGACCCGCCGGGATCAGGTATGCCGCTCTCTCTCGTGCTGCCGTCGGGCACTCAGTCCAGGACGAGTGCTCGACTTTTAAGAGGGGGTGACACCAAAATGACTGTTATTCATTTTGGTGTCACCTGGTGCGGGCCACATCCCCCGCACCCCAGTTGTGATGCCACTGTTGCTCTTAGATCAATCCTTCCAGCCTCTCTCCGCTTTCGCTGCATTGGTCTAAGGTCCCAGAGTCATCACATTCTATATACAGTGTATAGGACGTGCGGACGCCGAGGGACCTACCATTGCTGCAGCGGAGGAAAATAGAGGCTGCCGGCCAGGTCAGAGGTTCGGGTGAGTATAACTTTTTCATTTATGCATCTAAATGGAAATGAGCATATAACCTGTGCAGTGGGGA